TAGTTTCCACATATTCATTGCATTTTCAAATTCATGATAATAATATTTAAATTCTTACTTGGACAAACAGATGAATTTTAGAAATAAATTTGTTATATTTACAAGGTATACAAACTCTAATAAACACTATATGCATAATTGGAATTATTGACAACTGGCTTTAAAGGCAAAAGATCCTGTAAATTCACACATTTGCACATCCACATGCAATAAATACAAATCGATTGCCGAATCTCATCGAGCTTTCGAAAACGTCATCTGAGGAATCGGTTCTCCATCAACATACAAATCATGGACAACGCCAATCTTCTTCCGTCCACTACTCGTTGCACGAATTTTACAGACATGTCTTCCAACCTCGAAATGTGTCTCCGTTCCATCAGCAACGAATTCGCCCTGAGAAGAAGAAGAAGTTCGAAGAGAGATGGAGAAGTTTGCGAGATTACGAAGAACTCACAGCAGTATCGATTTTATTTCCATTTACCCAGATTTCCATGGTCTCTTTGTCTGAAAAAGAGTAGAAACGATTTGTATATTATTCTCAATATCAACAACAATGACGACAATGAATTAATTTCATTTATGAGAAAACAACTTCTCAGGGCTTAATTTAAGAATAGGTGAAATGATGTCAACAGTAGCCTCAGGGAGAAATCACTAAGGAAATATCGTTACCTTACCAAAAACTAAAATTTAACAAAATCTTGGAATTTTGGAAGAACTAAATATGGCTACTACTCTTTCTCTAAATAATAAAACTTTGTTTTCTTCCAAATTACACCACCTTTAACAAAAACTATAGAAAGTACGAGAGCAGACTCGATTGTTTTGAAAAGTTTTCGCAGCAGATAAAGTACAGAGGAATTTGCGAAAAAGCTAAAGTTAGCTCTATTTAACCACTGCTTTACCTCCATTCGATAGACAACTAAAATCTCTTCAGCACTCAAAACCTCATCGTTTAAGTTTAGTCACAATCTTCTTCATCTTCATAGCTTCATTTCTTGGGTGTACAAGATCTGCAAGTAACAAAAGGGCTTTTCCAACAATTTTCTAGCATTTTTCAGAGCGTTTCGAAAAATTTTGAACCCTTAAATTTGTGAATTTTTAGGTTTTTGATGACTCTCGTATGTTTGCAGGTCTGTCTTAAACTCTGCGGCTTTCCCATTCTGAGGTTCCAGTGCTCTTGGATGTTTTGAGTTCCTTAGAAATTGTAAGGATTGTTTTAAGAGTTCGAAATTTTGCAAATTTTTTATTTTCTAGAGATTTCTTTGCTTTAGAGGTTAATAAAAGATTTGTGAATAAAAGTTCCTTAACAATCTTTGTCTACCATCACTGATAAAAAACTTTAAAGAGTCTTTCGTCCACAGATTGCAAACTGTATATAACTATTTTCCACATCTAATAATGAAATGTCAGATTATTTAATCCAGGTGAACGAGATTGTTTAGCATACAGCCGCATATCACGCATTTGATCGCTTATGGTTTCAAATTGCTTACTCCGTGAGCAAAATTCTCGAGTACACCCTGTCACTTGGCTGTTTAGTCGCGATTTTATGTCTTTTGCATTAGAAACAACCAGTTTTTTCGTGAGAACTGGGATACGTACAATGTACAACACCTTCTTTACTACGTTAGCTTATCAATCCTAACTTTCCTTAAAAACAATGGGTGCAAGTTTTTTGCTTCTTATTTCTCTTACTTTCATTGTATAATTTTTTAAATTTCTTGAGACATAATGTCAAAACTCCTTGATTTTATTGGATGCTGCATACGACTGTGCATATCAGAGCTTTCACAAAGCATTTCTCAGTAGTGGAGTAAAAGAGAAGCCTAGCAAAAAAAATCTTACAGATCTCAATGAGTTTTAATGTTTGAAAAAAATTTGCTGATTGTAAATTATGCAAATGAGCCATTTTCTTAT